TCTCTCCACGGGCCCCCCTTACCCCGGCTGTGCTGGGGGTCGGCGGGGGGCTCCGCGGCTGCTGGAGGTTTTTGGGGGGCTTCTGGGGGGCTTCGGTGGAGCGGGGGCGCAGCGAGCTTTCACCCGCGCGTCTCTCGCCGCTTCCGAGCCTAACTGGGCTTTTTTCCCGGTCGGCGGGCCCTTTTAAACTGCGCGGCAAAGCCAAGGCAACTTGGTTCTAGCTGCAAAACGGTGATTACTGTATGTAACTTTTTGGCAGTATGCCCTCTTACAGTGTTACAAACTGATGATACAGGTCCAAATATGCCAAAGGGGTTAAAATTATTGACCTGAAAAATAAACAACGTTGTCTGCACATTCTGGGTCTTTCATGGTAAAGCTCTGGGACAAGATTGTACCATTTAGCTGACGTTTCACATGGGGAATGGTGCAAAGCTGTAATGCTGCAGGGGAACTCCAGGAGGCAAAATCTTCCCCTCCCTACCAACTTCTCTGAGGGACAGGGGAAGTGCACAGGATGAACCATTCTTTGGAACGTGCTCTTCAAACACCCCACCAGGAATGATCAGCTCCAAAAATGTTGAAGAAGGCTCCATGTCTTTCTAGCCCTCTTTGGAATGGACTGAACCATATGAATAAATGGGGGAACAGTCCTCAGCCCTTGTATAGAGTAGGGAAGAAGGCACTTTTTCTTCCCATCCTTATGACCAAACCTTATTACACCTTCTCACACTGAAGTGCAATTTACATGTCCATGTGTAGCCACATAAAGGCCTTTTCTGGCACTGACATAGAGCTTAGATTCTATTTCTAAAGGCCTTTTCTGGCACTGACATAGAGCTTAGTTTTTATTTCTCCCTCAGCAGCCACACTCACCTTGGGCTTGCCTCCTGAAAATGTTTCAAACACTCAACAACAGCTGTGTATTCTCTATGGTAGTTTAAGATGTCTAGATTGGTAGGCAACTGTGTACAGATCTCCAAATGTGTGGCTGGAGAAAAAACATGACTAGTGGCTGTTTCACACTAGAGGAAATTAAGTTAAATTGCTGCAATGCATTGCTCTTTTCCATTTTGAAAATTAACTCCCTTAATAATAACAAGTTCCCTTATATTTTTGGACAGGTATCTGGACAGTTTTGCTCCCTATCTCACCACTGGTCACTATGTTTCAAAGTGCAGCTATTTTGGAAAAGACCTCAGAAGGTTATTAGGTTACCTCAGAAGGTCTGTGATAACTGTACTGATATACACATTTGTTTAGATACACCACACTTGCATACAGGTGATTTTAAAGGCTTTAGAGTGTGTAAGTACATATGAGCAAAACCTTTTGTCCTTTTTAATATATAAATATCCCTTACTGACCAGGATAATTTGAAGTGTTATGAGAGAAAAATCTGCTTACCTGGGCACTCACAGCCTCCCCCTTTGGCTCTGTTAGCTACAGCAGCTGCATATGATCGTGCATCCAAAATTAAGAGCTTTTGAGGCTGGATGGCCAAACTCTCTGCTCCTGAAGCATTAGAGATTGAAGAATCTATAGAAGAAAGCCCATCAATGAGCAACTTAGAGACACTTATAATGCAGCTTGCAAATTCATGTAAGACATACAGTGTGGATACAAGAATCATGCACAGTCTACAGATATATTTGTACCCACACATTTTATATAGTACACACAAGAAATCACACTTATATACAAAGCTCTATCCATTTCAGAAATGGTGGGGCTGGTGAGCTCACCAAATTCAACGTCGGAGAGGTCCCCTCCATTAGAGAAATCTCTGGAACAGTTTCCATTTATTAATTTGTTGCTGTTAGATCTAGAATCTGAGGCACAGGCTTTGGCCACTGACTGGACAAGGTGTTCATCGTCTGCATTCCTCCAGCCCCACCAACTGACCTCAGGCTGTCCGCAACGGGAAATCACTGCCCCATTACTCTGGTGCCTACACAGAAAAGAGTAAGGAGAAAAAATAATTGCAGCATCAGAATTATGTCTCACTGCAGTATCATAAAGCATATAGTGTTCTAAGGCACCTACACTCTATAGATTTAGCATAATAGCATGATGTTCCCTAATAGGATATGCTATATCTGTAGGCAACTTGAGTCAACTGCTGTAATATTAACAAATTACATTATGAAGTAAAATATAAATCACTTTTAGTAGGCAGATCTGAAAAAGGTGTGGAATCCCAGATATACTCCTAGCAGGGTTATGTAGCAAGCTCCTTCCAGTGCTATGTTCCTACAACAGAGGCGGGCAAAATACAGCCCACGGGCCAGATCTGGCCCACCAGGCACTTTCATCCGGCCTGCAGCACCCACCAACTAACTATACCCTATCCAGCCTTTCTGCCCACAAGGGTAGAAGCGAGACGCCTACATATATACTGCCCTTCCCCCACCTCCACCAACATACCTTACTGAGTCTCACTCCCATCCCCCTGTGTGGAAAGGCCCGGCTCAGCCAGCACACAGCTTCTGGGCAGGGCTGCTGCTGCCACTGCTGCACCTGCCAGGGGGACTTGCTTGGCTTCCCGTTCCCACTTGCTCTAGGCAGCAGGTAGGGAAGTGGCGGGGTGAGGACAGGAGCGGCAGGGGAGCTGCAGCTGGGCAGGATCATGGAGTATGGGGCTGGGGCTGGCAGCAGTGCAGAACTCAGGTGGGCAAGGTGTGGGTGTGAGGGAGCCTGAGGCAGTGTGGGGAACTCCCACACACTCCCCACATGGTGCGCAGCTCCCGCAGGTGGCAGCAGCAGCAACAGCAGCAGGTGAGGGCGCTTGGGGTGCTTGTGTACAGCATTGGTGCTGCTGCCTGGTGGTACGCAGCTCCAGGCAGTGCTGCACACCACGGCAACTGGAGCACAGCCTGGTCAGGCTGTTTCTATTGCCAGGGCTCCCTGCCACGCACATGCAACTCCCACACTCATGCACCACGGGAGGAAAGCTCCACGCGCTGGAGCCAGCTGCCTTCACCGCTCCCTGCCACACAGGTTCCAGGACTCTGTGGGGGAGCAGGGGCCAAGGCTCCCCTCCACTTCTGGTGGAGTCCTGGGATCTGCGTGGCAGGGAGTGGCAAAGACATCTGGCTCCAGTGTGTGGAACTTCCCTCCAGTGGCAGAGGAGTGCAGGAGTTGCATATGCACAGCGGGGAGCCCCAGCGATAGAGCCGGCCTGGCTGGGTGTGAGTGTCCCTGCCTGCTGCTGCCTGTGGGTGCTGTGCACCATGTGGGTAGTGCAGGGGAGATTCCCCCACCTCCCTACCCTCCCTCACACTCCCCAAACGCCACATACCCACACCCTGCACCCACAAACCCCCCAAATATACATACTCCCCCAATATACCCTGTCCCCCCCCCACACACAGCCACACCCCACCACCATACACCCCCCCACACGCCACCATACACCGCCCCCAACCACACCCCCCACACAATATGCTACACTAAGACTTTATTTTTTTAGTTATTATGCAATTCCCTCTATATAGAGTATGCAAACACAAATCATGACAAATATTTTTTGTAATAAAATTAAAATATATGTTATACTAGGTGTTTGAGTTTCAGTGCATGATTTGGTTTTTTTTCTGCTTCTAAGATGGCAACAGCCCCTTCCTAAAAGGAGTAATTTGGGGGAGGGGGAGAAGAGCAAGGGGAAGGATTAGGGGGCTAAGGGCCAGGACTCCCAGTCCCAAGATGGTGACCAGGGTGTAAAGCAACTGTCAAGGAGGGGGGCTACCCATGCAGCCCTCAAAAGCTCACCAAACCTTGTTAAGCGTCCTTCCAGCTGAAATAATTGCCCACCCCTGTCCCAGAACACACTACTGATTATGGCTGGAATGATGCTTAGCCTTTGGTAAGGAGCATCTTGGAGTACCAGCATATATAAATATAAAAATTGCTTCTAAAATATAAGTGAGACCAACTATAAAACTCCACATATTCGTAATATCCCCAAGAGATAGGAAAGACAGGGCAAGAGGTGACATTGTCAATATAAGATGGTATGTGACAGATGACTGAGTAGCATGAAATGACAATTGAACAGTAAAATTCAGTTTTTAAGTCACTATGCAGATGATTTTAAAATCTGAACCAGCTTGCAATTTTGTTATAATTAAAGTGAAAAAACCGATAACATGTTTATGACTGTCAGAGACTTCTCCTGTTTATCTGAGAAGAAAGACTGAGAAATTTACTCTTTTGTCTGTATAAACAATAAAGTAAAACTATTTTTGTTTAAATACAGATCACCTATGTTTTGGTTACTGTGTCAGTGCTGTGCAGCCAACTATTGACAATGAGAAATACAATTCCACTTCTGTCATCAAAGGGCTTCCATCTGGCCAAATGCCATCTACAAAATTCTATTTGTATTTAATTAATACTATTTTGCATTCAAAAGGTCTCAAAACATGTTAACAAAAAGAAGGTGTAAACATTATTATTACTTTTTTGCAGAGGGGAAACCTGAAGCAGAGAAGTGAAGTGTTTTGCTTAAGGCTACACGATAAGTCAGTAGCAGTCAAGAACAGAAGGCTGATCTTGTGACCTTCTTCAGTGTCTTATCCAGTCTACTTATCTACATACTGTTTGTTTCTATTTCAGAGCAACAGCAGATATGCATTCCTTACATGAAATTCTCCTTAAGCAAAACCATCCCTATCCATGAGCTCTGTCAGAACTCAGGACTCCCATGTTTAAAAGTGGGCAGCCACTTATGGTAGTAGTGCCACCCTCTCAGGACACATCAAAGAGCACAGACAAGCATACACTTGGAGCAGCTTCAAAAGGGAAGTGGGGGTTGCTGTTCTGGACCCTGCAGCAGCTCTTCTGCTGTAACAGCCTTTACCAGGGGTGCTCAACCTTTGGTTCATGGGCCAAATGTGTCCTGTGGAGCTATCACATCTGGCGTGCAGGGCTTCCTATGAGTCAGGAAATTTGGGGGTGGGGAAGTGGTGGCCATTAATACAGCTGCCCTGCCACCTGCCAAATCCCAAACCCCTTCCCCTTGCAGGGCCAGCCTGCACCCCCTTTTCCCCCCTGTTGAGCTACACCCCCTTCCTCCCATACCTGCAAGACTGGACCATGCCCCCTCCCCCTCTTGGGGGTGGGCTGAGGCCAGATCACACCCTTTTCCCCGCACTTGGGGCCGGGTCACATCCTGTTCCCCTTCCCCCACCCCCTTCACAGGGCTGAGTGAAATTCTCCCCCCTCCAAACTTCCAAATGGCTACCTGCCCTGCCGGTTCCAGGCACTGGGTCAAAACCACCATCTGGCCCATGGCTGGACCAAGAACTGCCCATCTGGCCTACCTGGGAAAAAGCCTGGACACTACTGGTCTATGCAGTTAGCCTGTAACAAATGAAGCAAAACCACTCCATCTTTAACTTTGCTTCATTCAGTATAAAGTTGGAGCACTCTAGCTCACTTGTATCAGTCACTGATTCTCTTACCTCTGCACAGTGGATATGTGTCTGCACAGCTACTGCACATGCTCAGTGGGCACTAGATGGGCAGGTACACGGCTGCATACATGTGTAGGTGGGGAATGTAACAGTAAAAAAATTCTGGTCAGCAAAAAATCAGGGCTAGCAGGAGTTAAGATGGAAGAGGAGGGACCCACTGTGATCAAGCACCAATAGCTGAATGGTAAGAGGTACTCACTCAGGAAGCAGAAGATCTAGGTGCTAGGGCCCCCTTATGCAGCAAAGGTTTGAACATGCAACTGTCCAATATCTTTATTTAGATTTATATCCTAACCTATTCAGGAAGACTTAGGGTGGCTCACAATAAAAGATAAAAAAACCCACAAGATAAGAAACAACAACAGACTCCCCAAATACTACCCCAAAACTTCACTCCACTCCACCCACTCGTTTCCCTGCCTATAATCCATGAGAGCAATGCCTCTGGCACATGCCAACCCCTACTCACATCTAGAAAACCTCTACCCACTTCCGCCAGCCCCCATTCCCACCCACTCCCACTTTCCTGCCTCAAACCCAAAAAGGACCTCAGAATTGGTATTTCTCTTTATACCAATCTACTTTTTAGCCACTCCTGCTCCCTATTCATTTTAGTACGTATAACAATTACTCAGAGTAAATAGGTCAGTAAAAAGATTTTGGTTCTTTGCATAAATATGCAATGCTATTTCCATAAAAAGTGCTTGCTTTATATACTATCATAGTTAAAAGCTACACCTGAATATTTTACATAACAACCCCCCCATTTTAACTGTTGATGATTTTAAAGCAAGGAAGAAGCACAGGAACATTTTGCAAATACTTAACTTGGGCAAACTGCTCATACACTGAAGTCAGTGTGACTATTCCTGTGAACAGTTACAGATGTGAACAACTTTGCAGGATAGTAGTTTTTGCTGTTATTTTAGAAGTACGACAAGATTCAAAGTCATAACCTTGTCACCTGTAGTTTTCATTAATGTCATAATCATTTCTCATAAATTATAAAAATAATCTGTCAGAAATATCGGGGGATAAAATAGCAGTTTAGATTAGGAGAAACCTCATTCACTACCATGGATACTGTTCACTTTGCTAGTTAATTATCATACAAAATAGCATTTAGATATAAAACCAGCAGTTTCGGTGTGCCTTGCATGCCCCATCAAACAGCTGGTCAAAAGAGGGTAACAGTCTATGAATGGAACAAGTATCTATCTGAAAAACTACTAGTAGCTATGACATGCTGTCACAGTAACCAGACGGGGCCAGAAGCTTCTCATTATCTCCATCCCATGAAAGGACAAGGTTCAGTCACTCAGCTTCAAAAGGAAGACTAGGTAATGTCTAAACTTTGGTGTGGTAGCTGGAGCACCATGTTTGGAAGTTAGAGAAATGAAGGCTGGCATTCCCTCTGGGTGAGAGGGACCTAGAACTCAAGTCTTCTGCTGCTGGGGCAAATGCTCTTACCATT